GAGCAGGAAGCACCACTGAAGCAGCATGCCTGGTCCACAGAGTGCCTGGAATTGCTCTCTAGCAAATTTGGCCAATTAATAAACAATCTTGACAGGAGTAAAAGATGACAGCCCCATGGGTGTGCGAGGAAAAGAGAAAATACATCTAAAGGGAAGTAAAGGTTACTTTGCAGAACATGCCCTTTTAAACTTATTGCATATTTTCAATCGTTTAGGCTTCCTATATATAGCAGCCTGCTTTCCCCATTAAAGCAAGAAGCAAACCTGAGCTCACTAATCCACTGCCTCATCCTAGTTTTTGTGTGACAGAACTGACATTTTGAGAAAATACTGGGTGAAACCCTTGGTCCACTGGAGTCAATGAGAATTTTTTCCCTGGTTCCATTCTGTCAGTATTTCAGTTCAGTACTGGACATTGATACTGGACTTGAATCATTAATGGCTTTGAGATACATGACGTGCATTTGGCTAAATCACAGAGATGGCAGAGTAGCCTCAGAACTCTTATTAGTCTTGGAATAGTCACATATTTTTCTTTCATTATAATTATCTTTATTCACTGTTAACCACAGGCAATGTAATGGAAACAGGCTTCTCTATTAAAAATTTACTGCATTGCTTACAATACTGGCTAATTTCAATAACAGTGCAGCAATGGTCAGAGAGGTATTTTGCACAGAGGTGGTGGAAGAACGACCTTTTCCAAAAAATCACTATATAAGTGAGCAGAAAAGACTGATTGCTGCTTCTCTGAGAGCATGAGATAGGTAAGTGAGGCTTTCTTTTGTGCAAGCCTTACTCCAGTGGGTTAAATAAATCTTGGCAGTTGTTGAAAGGAAACAGTCTTCGCTCAGTTTTGCCACTAGTTTTCCAGGCTCTCCCCCAAACATCAGTATCCTTATCTCTGCTGCTCTCACTGCTTCTTGTTCCTCAAGTCAGTACATCATTTCATAGTATTTCCCTCAGGTCTTTCTAACTTTTCCTGCTAAGGAAAAGGATAATCCTTCTCTACAGCAAAGATAAGAGCAAGAATGAGGTGGTACACACCCTGAGGAGTGTACTGGTAGTTAAAAGCTAGCACAGTCATCTGCAGCGTTCTCCCTCTGCCTCCTGACCTCTGCGTCACCACCAAGCTTCATACAGCTCTGTCAGACCAGAGAGATTTTACCAGTAAAAGAAGACCTTCAGTCTTCATAAATTTTCCTGTTGGCACACATCCAGCCACAGCAGCAGCAGAGTTATGTTATCCTGCCTACCCAACATTAGTACAGTGCTCCACGAATTCTCCTTTTTAAATACAGTCACTCTCGGATGTTCACACATGGAAAAATAGTCAATTTTCTTACACAAAGTGACAGACACGTTCTGGATGAGAGCACAGAATAATGCAAACTGCATCCTTTACTGACCCTTATTCCACCACTGAAGGAACTTACTTCAGGATGTATGTGCTTTATCCTTCTACCATAACATTTTTTGTGTGTTGGCTTTGGTATCAAAAGAATCAAGACATTCCTGATGATGCTGTGGGCGGTCATAGGGATATCTGCATGTGTCTCTGCTATCCCCTAAAAAGTCTAAAATCATTACCTAACTGACGCTTATCACAAGTTTATTGAACATTAGCTACCAAGCACAGGGGAAACTGAGAGGAAAACAGCACTGTAAAAGCAATCTCTTTAGATATGAATCATCATACAAAAGCAGTATTTTTAATAACATCAATGGTGAAAAAAACTTTCGTTGGATTTCACACCTTACCAACAAAAAAGTCTAACAACAAAACCTATACCCAAAGGAAAGCAGATTTTACTGGTTCTCTGCTTCCATAAATAATTGTTAATGCGGATGTTGAATAACTTCCTTGCTTTTCTTTACTTCTCTGGGCGTCAGCATCACTAGTGTTAAGGACAGAGATAGCCACTGCTATCCACTGAAAAGGCACTTGGTATTAAACAAGTATTAAACAACTTCTGAGACAGGTAAGAAAAAGCCTATAGTGGTAGCTATAGTGACCATATTCCATCATGCATGTAAGTTTTCACTGAAAACACTCTTAGAACATGGTCCAGTTTTGGACTCCAATGTGGGGATCAGTCTGGGAGAATATACTAGGCTGTATGAATAATGAACGTACTACATCTGAAACACCAATGCAAACTAGTATTGTATACAAGATTCCAGTTTTTACTTTGGAGACCTACAGAAGTTCCTAAAGAGCATTAGAGTTCTCAAAGTGGATCTAACAATTCATAGCAATGAGATGTTAAAAACCCCTATAAATCTGTGGCCATAGGAATGACTTTTCTAGTGCCAGTATAAGTTCAAAAATCAGATTCTTTTCTTGAGGTATCTAACAAAGAATATTCCTGCTCTAAAGCTATCTCAACTCCATTGTGCTGATTGATAAACATCATTTAAAGTCACATATCTAGACCAATTTTTGTCTCTTCTCTAAGAACATCACAGGCACGTAAGCATGGCAAGTCAAACCCTAGGATGATGCCTGCATATAGTTAATCAGTGTGACGTAAGAAGGGTCAGCATCTGTCTGCTTTTAACTTAAAATGCTTCATGGGAGACAGAGCTGAAAGCTGATTTGTTCATGTCAGATTGGCAAGCCTGCAACTATCCAGCACCCCTAAACAACCCTTCCTTTTTCCTGTCCCACTCAGCATTTATTGTGAGCGGAGATGGTAAGCTTGTTTTGATTTAAAGATTTCCAGTAGAAATTACTGGTTTGCAAAAAATAGCTTTATTCATTGGAATTAGTTGGTTTTGAAGAACTTCCAGTGAAACCCAGCAGAGATGATGGAGGAGGATGACTTCCAGGGTGTGGACCAGTCCTAACAAGCAAACCACCTCAAAGTGAACAGATACCTAGTTTTCCTAGATCCGCAAATCCCAAGCCACCCTTCCGCACAATAATGTGAATGCAAAATAACTTAGTGGGGATTTTGCTTGTTTTGCTTCTTCCACATTTCTCTTTAGTAGAAAATTTCAAAATTTCTACCATTCCTTCTGAAGTGGAAGTTAGAAGCTTGGAGGATTGGGTGCAACAGAAACGTTCTGTCAACCAGCTCTACTTTTGATAGTTTCAAGGTCAAGCACTCAGCATTTGGTTTACTTCACACTGTACAGAGCTGGGAGCGCTTATCTTCTGCTAACCCTTCTGAAGACTTGCCTCTTTCTTGAGGGCTGTAAATGCCAACCTGCATCAATCAAAGCTGTCACTGAGCCGTTCTCAGCTCATATTCTGCCCAGTGCTGTCTGTCTGGTTAGATGGAAGCCACTTCAGCCACACACAGGGCAATGTGTGAGGGTAAAATATGAATTGTATACTATTCAAGATCTTATCTGTCAAGAAAACCTAAAGTGCTGTACAGGTGCCTAAGTTTAAGTCTGACATTGTATTTTAGAGTTTCTGAGACTCAGATTTCCATTTAGGATGAAGCCAGCCCTTACTGAATATTAAAAATAGCTCAGCCATAACAGTGTCTGATCTTGTGGTAATAATACACCCTTTGAAAAATGTGTGAAAATGTTCGGGGGAGGTATTTTAACATCTGGGGGAAGGTAAACCACAGCTATTGAACTATTCATTCCTGAAATCTTAATAAAATGTGAACTATTTGGGGTGGTGAGGGGAGCAGTAAAAAGCTGTGATTTTCTATTACAGATTATTGGTACATGCTGTTGTCAGGGCTATAGGATCATACACAGGCATGCCACCTTCAAAGGAAAAAAAGATGACTACTAAAATTGCAAAATTGTTAGTGAAGATTTCAAAAAATGAAGCCTAGGATAAATTAAAATCAATTAAAACCTGATGATAGAAGCTGTGAATATGATGTGTATTCTACACTTAACTGACAAGGGCTTGGGAGAAACTTGAAAAATGTAAAAATTCTGTCTTGCATTTTACACATTCCATACATTTCCATATGTTTCATACCACGTATGTCCTTTCGGGTAAGTGCAGTTCAACCGGAGTACCAAGTACAAAGCAGTTACACCCCCAAGTTTTATTTGTACTGGGAAGTTGCTTTTTTACTGCTCACAAGAATTGCACTGTATAAATGCAATGCCAGGTTCCTCTTCGTAAAACCGCAGCATGTGAGCTGCAGGTGCCCAGGAAAAATTAGGTCAGACCTCCACACCTGCCTCTCCGCGGCCACCCCCTAAGTCCACTGTAGCAGTTACAACCTCTTGGTTGTAAAATAAGAGGAGTCAACAACAGAAGTCGAAACACTACAATAAATGGGAGTCATCTCTCTGCACCTGGTAACGGAGCACAGAAAGAGTAGGCAGCAGAAATGCTGGCAACACAGAGGCTGCACTTCCACCCAAAGGCAGGTAGGTAGGTGCAAATAAACTGCCTCAACTGCCAGTCCAGTCTGAACACACAGAAATGCTGCCCTGACCCAACCACAGTTTGGAAATAATCACAAAGACCATAATTTTCCAGCATCCTTCTATTTCCTCTATAAGCAGCACCTGGTTTTGACTCTGGGCCTCAATTCCCTCCTATACTCCTTCAGGGCAGTTTTGCATTAGGCAGAGATAGCGCTTGCCTTCAATCCCTCCCTAGTCTCATTGCTGAGATTGTGTCTGGACTGGCAGTATCACCAGTACCTGGTTTTGGCCGGCCTTCCCTGACCACATTTCTTTCAGATTTAGACGTAGGTTATGAAGCTTCTATGTTACTACAAAGAAGGAAGATGGACTTAATCCTGCAAGGCCTTACAAGTTTCCTGCATTGCAAAACAATTCATAATTTGGCTTATACCAAGCAACTAAGACTCTGGTTTTGGAAAAGGAGGAATACAGTGCTATTTATGTAACTATAATTAGCACTTCAGACTTGCAAGTCCTGACATCTATACATAATGTCATATACTTCCACAGCATTGATAACAAGTGAACAGGCGACTCTTGAAAGGAAACAGGTTTCTTTTTTTCCTTACCCTGATTTTTGACTCGGTTCTCTTTCACTGTTGAGAAGCACCATTTCCTCCTTCATTTCTTGTTCTGTTGCTACGTTACTTCTGAGTCTCTGTTGAGAATTTGCTTCCCAGGCACCATCAACACCAACCACCTGCAACACACGTGTTCCTGCGATGCCCGAACTCTCATCCCTGGTAGTCTGGCTGGCTGAAGGAGAACAGCCCTCATGTTCAAAAGATTTCTGTAGGGAAGCTTCTATCTGAGATTCTGCCCAAGTGTCAAGAATCAATTCCTGTGCTACAACAGCTGCTGGTTCTTCCCCAGAACGTCCAGTCTCTGATTTTGGCATCTCTGACTCGACAGAAATTTTTTCAGGTGATATGTCACTGACTTCATTTTGGCCCAATATAATCCAGCCCTCATCTTGCCCACAGCTTTCCTGTGATCTCCTTTCATCATCCATTTTTTCAGGCACAACAGAACTTTTATCTTCTAAGTGAACAGAGTCCCATTCAGTTCCACAAACAGAGTGATCTTCCCCTTCATTTGTAATGGATATGGACTGAAAGGTATCCAAGGCTCCCGGTGAAAAGCCTTCACAAGATTCTGTTTGTGCAGCTACACTCCCTTCTTGAAATGCAAAATCACTTTCCTTTCTTTCAAGGGTATCCTTCACTGCAGGTGTATTTTCTTCCTCCTTAACAAGGATGTAATCCATGTCCAGTGAAGTTGGACCTCGGTGTGCCTGCGTCCCCGCTTCTTCCTTACCCTCTGCACTTTTCAGTCCAGGGCTCTCAGAGGAACTTCTCGGCCTGTTCTCCCTGCAGAGCAGGGTGTGAGTGCCAGCTTCTAAAAACACAGGCAAACAGAAACTCCTTTTAGTTTTTGAATTACTATTTCAGTCACCATGATTTCTTTAAATCGGCACAGTGACTTAAAGCTCATCTCAATTTGGTTTGCTCTGTTAATATGTACTTGAATTTTACACCACCATCATCATCATTAAAGATTATACATTAACATTGTAATCATTCCAAAGGGACAAACGATTCAGCGTCCCATGTTCTAGGCCCTGTACAAACAACAGAAATAACGTTCCTACTTCAATGCTTAAAAGCGTGAGATCTGTCTAGGAGGGTGAGGCTAGAGGCCTTCCCCAGGTGGCGAGTTCTGTACACCAGGGAGACACACGCTGCCAACCTCACTCAAAGCCTCGTCATTCGGCAGTAATAACCCAGACGTTTCCGTCCCTCCTCCGCCTGAGAACTTGCTCTGGAAAGCAGGTTTTCTTACCATCAGGTGATCTTCTATCTCCACCTGGCGGCGAGTCGAAATCAGTAGTTTCTGCTTCAGATTTTCCTGCCGAAATCTCGGAAGCTCCTGGAGTTGCTTCAGACTGGGAGAGTGAAGATATTGATGTGAGATTTTCCTGAAGGCACTCTGCGGATGATTCAGACACCTGATATTTAATGCTGCTGTCTTTGGTCTTCAGGATGCCTTCCGCACCTTCCGAAGGAGCTGGCAGTGGGGAAGCCTTTTCCAAAGAAATGCTGTCACAAAATGGCTGCTGTAACAAGAGCTCATCCTCTGCACACTCCCTGCTACTAGAGGGTTCAGCATCAAAAGACACGTCGGATGGTGGAGTACACACCCCTGGGGATTGGTCACTGGACATCTCCTTAAACACAGGAACGTCGTTTTCAATTACGACTTCAGATTCTTTTGCTATGTTATCATCCAGTTGATCATTTGAATCAGATTCATGGCCTTCGTAAGCACCAGGCAGAAAGGATTTGGGAAAGAATATCTGTTTATCCTTTGATTCCTCTGCTGTGGCTTCACTGACTACTTCTGCCAGTATGTCCCTCCGACCACATATGCTTGTGGGGACGCCAGTCACTGATGTGTTCCTGATGTTACCTTCTATCCCTGTCTCAGATTCATCCACACGCTCTTCTGACATGTGTAGTTCATCACCAGTTATTGCTGTTTGGTCAATATCAAAATATCTTCTAGCTTCAGTCAAGGCACTGATTTCTTTTAAGCTGTGTTCTGCCCTATTAGGTAGAGTGAAATCCATGGGAACCAAATGCATTTGAGAGGTCACTATCTGAGCTGTATCAGATGGTGTTTCTTCACGGCTTGCAGGAGTAGAACTTTCATGGAACGTGTCTTTCAGATCTATTGATGACACTTCTAAAACTTCACTGGTAATTCCAGCCAACTCAACTGGGTCAGTAACAAGTTTATTTTCTAGATCATATTCTTCCAAAATTGCAAATTCAGGAGGCTCTTGAGTATTAGACGAGGTTAGCGGATAGGATTCTTTGGTCTTCCCCGGTTTAGAGTCCTGGGGGCTCCCACTTTCAGACTGTGTCTCTACCTTCTGCATTACTAACTGACACTTTGAATCAGAATCTGCCTCTTCACTCATATCTGACCATGCATGAATTGTTTGTCTATCTTTGTCTTCAGGCTCCACCCCAACCTGAGAAGATGGGATAGAGATATGCTTAGCTTCATACTCCTGGCACACATCAGGACTGCTTGATGCCTCTGAACTATTGTCTTGGTCACAGTGACTTAATATATCAGGATTTTCACCATCTGATTTCAGAGTGACAATCCGTTCAGCATTAGTCCACAGGTCAGGTTCCACTGAAAAAAGCTGATTCATTTCTTGTGTGTTATCCTGTAAGATATCTGGGATAAGTGCAGGTTGAGGAACTAATGTACTCCACCCTGGACTTGACTTCTCTGTCATTTCAAAAGAGAAGTCTTCTACAGTGAACGCACCTGGCAGGGAGTTGCACACTTCTAATCTTTCACAGGTGTCCAGCTGTTGTTCTTGAGGAATAAGACTTGCACTTCCCTCATTGTCTTTTGGTAGATCCAGTACAGTAATTTCTTCAACTGATGTGTTTGGCATACCTTGTTCCTCATGTGAAAAAGGATTCTGTGGAGTCAGTCGATTTTCCTCATTTGTAGGAAACAACTGGCCTTTCAGGCCCCTTTCATGCACTATGAAAGGATCAAATTGTTTGAATTGTAGAGTGTCTTGATTTATTTGACTATCAGGAACATTCATAGGATGTACTAGCCTTTCATTTTGTGTTTCATCACAGTACAGGGAGTGAAGGTGATTTTCATCGTTACTTGCATTAGTGAAATGCGCTTCTGTTAGTTCTTCATGTTGTGAAGGTGATCCCCAAGAGACCTCCTGACTATCTGTTAACTCGTTTGTTGCAGGGTGACTTGAAACAGAATACTGACCTTCCAATTGCTTTTCTTCACAAGGTTGTGAAGTCCACCATTCTGAACTGTCATCTGCAAAACCAAATGTTCCTACTATGGATTTTGGATTAGGTCTTAAATTAGCTTCCAATGACATATTCCACCTATCTCCATCTTTTGAAGAATACTCTTCTTTATCACCAAGAGCACAAGTCAGTGTAGCATCTTCATTCATTTGATATAAATATGAGTCTTCTTCGCTACCTGTTTTCTCACTGAAAACACTCACCTGGGCTTTTTTCTGAAGTGCTTCCCAGTGACCTAAATATTCAGAAGTCTCATTACACTCCATTATAGTCAAGTCCTCCTGTAATACTTTCTTAGCTTTAATTGCTTCAGGATCTTCATTGAAGATGCCTACCTGGAGCTCCTCTCCCACCTTTGTTTTTGAATTGTCTGAATTGTCTTCGTTTGCTTCAGGATTTGTTGCGTTAGATTGAGCATAATCCCCTCCAATTTCAGATGCTTTGTGCTGTTTGTTTTCATATGTGGACTCTTCATGAATCCCTTCTGGACATGCCTCTGAATTCTCTGAATCTTCATTTATGTCGGGACTTGATAAAGAAGATACAGTATCATCATCCACATGAGCATTCCAAAAATCTAAGCTTTTAGGAACTTTGTTCTGCTCAGCACTTGTTTCAATTCCTTCTTCACGTTCACTCCCAAATTCCTTCCTTTTACAGGCATCTTCAAGATTTTTATTATTTTTAATATCCCACATATCCCTAATTATTTTGTGATGACTGGCAACTGGAAGGTCTCCCCACACATTCACAGATGCATCACTTAAATCAGGGCTTGTTCCACTTGAGTGTGCATAATCGTGTATTGAACTACTCCACACATTATCTTCTTCCAAATAACTTTTGATCTGTATTTCCTTTGAAAGGCTACTTGTAGTGTTTGCCATTTCCAGGACTTCACTTGCCTCAGGACTTGTTCCAGGAGATTGCAAATCTTCACACAGCTGTGAATTCCAAGCAGTTTGGGGCAAGCTGTCATTAGGCATTACACATGGCTCTCCACAAAGATTATTAGCAGGTTCTAAATTTTCAGAGTTTTCATTTCTTCCAGAACCTATTTCATGTGAAAATGAATTTTCCACAACAGACATATCTGTAAGGTCAGGAACACTGACATATCCAGAAGAAGGACTCTTCTTAAACTCATCTATGAAAGAGTTTTCATGAGTCCTGTTCGGTTCTGAGATATTTTTGAAAGATACTAACTCCGAATTACAAATGCCTGGATGGTTAGGAACCACTTCGTGTAAGCCCTCTTTCACTTCTCCCAGTGCTTCTTGTGGTTCATTCATCAAAGGAATTGATGTGGCTAGGAGAAAACCACTCTCTCCAGAGTCATTCCAGATGCCTGAGCTTCCAGGCATTTCAGAAGAGTTATTTTCAGGTTTATTACTACCCTTGTCAGAACTTTCAGAGATACTTTCCATCTCAGGACTTGTTGCATCCTCTATCACTGTAGTCTCCTTTTCAACCTTCTCGGAAAGCAGCTGTAATGTTTCACTATAATTGTAATTTTGTAGTCTGGAGTCTTCAAAAGATTCATCATTTCTGCCTTCCTCAGAAGCACTTGAAGACGATTCTACATTATTCTGTGACAAGTCTTTCCTCTCTTCTTGACTAACTGGATTACTTTGATTGGAAAATGACTCATTCTCTGTGACTAATGCTTCCAAACTAACACTATTCTTCATTCTTTCTGGGGAGCTGGGAACTTCAGCTGTTGACCTGTTTTCTTCCGAATCTGCATTACCTGAAGATTCACTGTCCTCCTGCACTGGTTTATTACAAATATCACTTATCATTAGCTGTCCCCTTGTCTCATCTGTTCTCTTATTTTCCTCTTCTGCTTCCTGAGAGATGACAATGGCATTGTCCCAGCCTTCCTCACAACCCTGCTCACGCTGTAAACTCCACGAGTTCCACTGCTCTGCTGAATCCTGACTATCCAGCTTTTCAACACCAGCAGTGTTTTGTGCTGCCTTCTTACTAAGCATCCCACTCCCGAAGTCGCATAGTTTCACATCCAAACCATTCCCAGTGTCTGAAGTTGGTGTAGAAGTGTCTGTGTCTTCTACAGGAACACTGCTCACTGTTTCTCCATTTTCAGCTGCAGTCTGTCCAGTATTTAATTTGTTCTGTGACAGTGCTAAGTCATTCGCTGTTTGATTGTTTACCAGTGTTGTTCTGCTGTCTTCAGACACAGAAAAATCATTTTCACCGGTATGTATCTCAGTTGAAAAACAGTGATCAGCTGTTTGTTCTGAATTAAGGAAAGGTTTAGCAGAGGCAGATGGAGCAGTAATTTCAGAATTTCTTTCTTGTAAGTGGGTAACGTTATTTAGGGGAGTGTTCCAGATGTCTGTGTTTCTGGTGCTTGAAAAAGACATGTTTCTAGGACATAATGGTTCCTTGTTTGCTTTCTCAAGTACTTCTGACTCAGTCAAATTTGAGTTTATAAATTTATCAGTAACTCTTTCTTCATCAAAATCTTTGTCCTCAGTTTCTTTTTCATCTTCCACATATGTAGGTGATATATACGAATCAGATGTTGAATAATTGGTGTCTGGTGGAGAAACAACTAAATCTTCACCTAAGTTTGATAAACTAAGATCTGAGCGTTTATACAAGAAGGTATTCTCCCACGGCACCACTACTTCCGTTACGTCTTTCCTGATGTTCTTATCATACACATTCCAGGTCTCTACGTTTTCAAATTGGTTTGGTCTATGTTTAGGGTCACCAAATACAGCTTTTTCATCTGTTTGCAGTTTGGAATTATTTTGCATATTGTTGTAAATAGCATTTGGATTTACAGATTTTCCATATTCTTCTACTGAATAATATCTTTCTTTATCCCAGACTTCTGGAGATACCTGGATAGGTGGATTTTCAGTCTCATTGTCCACTGCGATTTCTGAAGAATCTGATAAACTAGTTTTTGATATGGTCCACTCCTCAGAAATATCAACTGATTTTTTTTCTCTATCCAGTTCAGGCATGTTCCATACATTTTCTGAGGATCTAGTAATACCTCCTGCATCAAACTTAGTCCAGACTTCGTATGTGTCTCCAGCAAGCTGACTGCCTTTCCCTTCACCACTACACCATGCATCTGGCATCACAGGTGTCGTCTGACTGACCTTCCATGGGTCAGTAAAGCTCTCTGGTTCTTGCTTTGTCTTCTCTAAAGAAGCAGTTTGTAAATGTGAAGGTTCACTGTTTTTCACTTGACTCTCATGGTTCCAGTTATCTTGTTTAAACTCATTATCCCACAGACCTGCTCTCATGTATTCCATTTGTTTTGGCTGTTTTTGGAAAAACACAGAATCTGAGGCTCTTCTATCAGTATGTTCTTGTAGCAAGGGATTTTCTTCACAATCTTTCCATAAGACAGGGCTCTGAAATACAGATTCCTGCTCATTTGAACTCCATGGATCAGCATTTCTGGACTCCAGGTCAAAGCCATCCCACCAGCTCCCATATCTGACACGAGACTGAGAATAATTTGCGCCATCTATTTCATTAATTTTTTTTATGACATCTTGTGGGAAGAACAAAGGCTGCCCATTATCTAATGGTGAAGTTTCTACGAGACTGTTCATAGGAGTTGGTGGGATTCTTGAATCAGCAGATTTCAACATTTCTGGTGAAGAAGAATCACCTTCAACTAAATCTATCATGCTTGAAGTTTTCTCACACATTTCTCCCGGGCTCTCATCAAATCCAGCTAAATTTTCTTCCTCATTTGTTGTCATAAGAAAGTCAGTTGAGTAATCTGCTGTACCATTTTCTAGAAGGTTTGCCTCATCAAGTTCTTTCTGCACAGTGAGTTGTTGTCCTTCTGATGAATCACTATTAAGGAAATAGTCGTCTGCTGGGGAACAATCAACAGAACGAGAAGATGACTCAGATGGAGCTGTAACCACATGTGCTAGATCAAAATTGAAAAGATCAAAGTTATCGCGATTGTCTCTAGACTGAGGTTTTTGTTCTTCAGCTATTGTTCCTTCAGGAATAGGACTATAGGAATCAAAGCCAGGCAGAAGACTGTGATGGGAAGCGGCACCTTCTGCAACAGGGCTGTCATCACTAAGGAAAACAGAACTCTCCTTGGAAGACCGGCTGCTCCCAATGGTAGCCAATGCTCCTAAGGGTAGCCAATCCACTGTCTGGACTCACAAGGTCTACATTAACATCAACGTGGGCTTGCATAGCTCCATTTAGATCTTGAGGATTTTCTATAAAATTGGCAGAACTGGGCTGTGGTTCTACATCAGAACCATATAACTCCACAATGCCAGAAGACCCTTGTGAAAGTGGAGCGCTCCCAGCAACAGCTTCAGTAGACGAAGTTCTACTGTTTGATGCCATTTGTGGTTGTCTTCTATTTATCACTTCCTTAACTAGAAGAAAAATTTGATCACAGGTCACCAAAGAATTTTCTTGATGATAAATGAGAATTTGGTCACATCCGCATTCTAGAGGTTCCAGCTCCAAACGAGGATTCTGACATTCTTCTAATTCACAGCAGATCTGTTGAAAAATAGGATGTTTCAAAAGCCATTGCAATTATGGGCATAAGGTCACTGACTACTTCACCATGTAACACAGCCATACCTATCTATTCCTTTTAATCTGTTTATTGTTTCACTGTAACAGCCTTACTGTGTTCCCCAAATACAGGAAGTATTAAAATAGAGTAAGTATTACATAATTGGTCAGATTATTTACTTGAAATTGTACCATTTGAGGTTCAAATTCACTTTCATTAGTAAAAGGAAATCCACATGTTTAGTTGTTGCCTTAAGAAACCTGAGTCAAATATGTATGGGTAAATGAGAAAAGTATTTCTAGAATGGAATAATTGTATTCATAAAATAAGTACATTTATACTGAACTTGAAAGCAATTGAGTCCTTTAGTCACCTATCTCTAATATCGTAAGTTTTTTAGACTGAGAACAAGGTTCAAAAAGTTGCCACTGGGATGATTTCTTCCACGTGGGGAAAAATACATTGAAAAAATGGAAAGCACCTGGCTTTGGATAAATTAACTTCCTAGTAATAATTTGGCTTCATTTCAGACCTTAAATTCTTTAGAAGTAACTTACAGATAGATGACTTCTGTTCATTACCATTTGCAACGTGTTTCCTTGTCCCTCACTGGCAAAGACTCATTTTGTAGATCAGAATTAAAAAACAGGCCAAAACAAGCAGAAAAAAGAAGAGATCATTCTGTTTTAGCTACACTGGAAAACATTGTCTCTTTCTGTATTTCTTGTAATCGTACACTTTTTCTATTCGGTTGGTCTGAAACAATCATAAATATCACAATCTTTCATTTTGCATCATATAAGTAATGCAGCCATTTTAAAGAGCTACTCAGTTGCCAGACAACTCGTGCTACTTTTTGACCCCACTCAATTATTCAACACTTCAGTATATACTACTTTAAAAAAACTTTTTTTTCAGGAATGACGTTATTTGATTCTTTTTCCAGGTACTTACTTGATTGCCTAGCTCTAAGTTTTCCGAGTATACTGCTATTTGTTGTTTTGTTTGCTTCTCATCTGACAAAGAGTTGGCCAAAATTACAAGTACATCAAATCCGTATTTATCTGTGAATGCTTTCAGATCACCAGCGAGACTCCTGTGTAATGCACAGTCCTGAAATACGGTAAGAAATTAAAAGAAATGTCATTAAAAGAAATGTCCTTGTTCTTTCCATCCAAATCTGTGGTGAAAATAGCCAGAAACACATTAATACGCATCGGTGTCTGCAGCTGGCAACAGAATTCCATTCCATGTCAAAACAGCTATGGGATTAAAAAAAAAATCAAGAACCGGTCTTACAGCACAGTAATGGACTTCTGTTTCTGAAGAATGCTAAAATACTAAATGTAGGCTTTTCATTCTTGAAACTGCTGCTGAAACAGAATTGTTACTTGTTCCTGCTATTCACTTTTGCAAGGTTGCTTAGAAGTATTGGGCTACTGCTATTTCTTGAGTAAAAACCCTTTTTTGTTAGAAAAATATTTTATTAAATTTGTCATGTCAATATTTCATTTAAAATAATAGATGTTAAAATAATAGTACTGAGGTGCAAAATCAGGCACTCAAAAGGAAATTGTATGTGCTGACTTAATTTTACAGCCCTTCACATGTGTCCACTATGATATCACATGATCGTATACCATTTTACCATGGATTATTCCTTTAGATTCCTTTATTCCTGCTCTTTGAATTCTGTGCAAGTCTTCAAAACAGTAACATCCCAGAATAAGGACAGAGTAAGGCAAACTTCTGGGTTTTTTTCTTTTGTTCTCTTTTATTTTCTCTTTCATGTTTCTGCTATTTGTATTAGACATATTTTTTGGTCATGATCCAGCTAATAGCTCTTTGGATGCTGCCAAGCTACACTGGCCGTGAATAAAGAGCAGTTCATCACGAACACAACACAACTGTATATGCAGATTGGTGTGTTATTCCCCTGCATCTGTCTCCTATCCAGTAAATGACTGTTTTGGTTACGTGTATACACATACTATTTATTATCAATCTACTCAAATTCGTCCACAAAATGTGTCTCCTGCCCTGTAAGTTAAACTTAAAACCAAAAAATCTGTTAGCCAAATGCTTTGGAAGTAGATTCTTTTCCAAGATTAGAGATAAAGTTCCACTTTGATGTTCGCATAGCACCTAAAAATGAGTTTTATGTGAAATTCACACAGCTTAGTGCACAAACAAAAGGCAGCAGTCAGTTCACTGGTAGACATTCAGATACGAAATCTGAACAGAGCATTAGGGTGAAGAATTATATCAAATAAGGTTTGAACCTCTGAACCAGTAACATTTTAGCAAAGACTCAAGTATTGGGTATATTTGAAAAATACGTGCTTAGGCACGGAAAAGTTACTTCAGTTATCGCAACTACAGTTGGAATCCTTAATACGTATTTGAATAAAAAAATTGAACTGGAGCAGATTCAAAACCATCTGAAAATCCCTGATAACCCCTTATCTCAGTTACACACTCACAGCCAATTCAAGAAAATCAGGAGGTCACAGGGAAAGACATGGACCAATCAAGGATCTAGAATGCAACGTGTTTTATGGCTGTACGTGAGGTAAACAAATAATAATTTTTTAAAAAAAGTCTGGCCTTCAAGCCTCATGATGCTTTATCTCTGTATTGCTTGTATCAGCCGAAAATGCAAAGAATTAGAAGTTTCCTGCTAAAATCACGTGACTGAACTGGCGGCCTCACGAAAGTGACACTGACTGAGGTAGTATCTGCCATCATCTCAGCCCACACTTGGCACTCAAAGTGGTAGGTTGAGTGCCAAAAAAAATGTTTTCTGCAATATTTTAAGGGAGGAACCTCTTAACCTGTCTGTGTGGCAAGGGAGAACTCCCCTGTCACAACTTGCAGAGTCAGTACGTGCATGTAAGGCAGTCGGAGGTATATTTCTAGAATTTAAGGCCAAAGACCACTAGGGCATCACAGAGCGAGACTATGAATGGAGCAGAAGATAGAACATTCACCTGCAGGCAGCTATCTGTTGGGAGGAACTGGTTACCGCAGCAAGGGTGTGGCACCAAATGCCATACAACGAAAGGTCAGTTCTACAGTCAGAGCAGGAACTAAAGATGTAAATGGCCATGATAACCCTGAAGGTCTTAAATTTGAATTTGCCTTGTGACATGCTTTTTTGCAAACTTCTGTCATACGGTCAAGAGCAACACTGAGGAACTGATAAAGCAGCAGGTGATGCCTTTAGCAGGGAAATTGCCATGTATGTATCCCTGGTGGAGCAGCTGGACTGGAGAGCTTCACATTGGGCCACATTAATATAAACAATAATGGATGCATACTACCTACATAATTACCTAATCCTGATATCTACTTGACCTGCATTTCTTCCATGCTCTCAAACTTACTATTATTCAGAATGTGTATTTTTTCCTTCTTGAGGTTCTCTGCATGATGGTGACTGAGAGGAGCACAAAGATTAACTCTGAGCAGGCGACCTGTCCCTCTCCATTCCGTGTGAGCTGCAGAGGGAGGTCAGTTACGTACTACAATTTTTCTCTGTGCTTCACATCCAGCTTGGCCTTTGGACTGTGTCGTGCTACACGTATTCCTTGGGCACAGAATAAACATGGCCAGCTTGCAGGCAGCATCCGCTTGGTACTAGCAATTATGTCACCTCGGTGCCCTTGCCTTTATCTAAAACTGCAGCAACAAGTTCTCATATGAACATCCTTTCTGTTTGACAGTATAAATGAGCCATGGAGATGTTTCCGTATAAGAAAATCCTGTAATAGCTAAAATGATCAAAAGGTGGCAATCTCTTCTATGAACAAGGTGTCTCCAGCATGCTGTGCATGGATTGAAGGCTTAGTCAATGCTGCACCCTGCAGGGTTCCCACCACCTAAAGGGATGTAGGATTATGTACACTGTTTTCTCCTTTTACTGTTAGCTCTAATAAACAGCATTTTAAAAGATACCTCACAGAGTTTGCATGCTTTGCTTTCTGGGATCATTATGGACCAGAGCTGTGTGGTGTGAAACACTCTCAACTGATGAGAGACTGCTCAGAGCAGCATGGGAATAGGTTTAGGTGTGCCAGCCCATACACCACATTGAGAGAAAACATCTTTAAAGAAAACATGTGAAGTATTTGCGAATTTAAAAGTGCAAGAGGGCAAGAGGTATTTTACAGTTATATCCAATCAACAGTAATTCTGAGCAAGTCATAAAGACCTGTCAGAATACAGTCCAAGTCAAGCAAAAATATGCTGAACACATCCCATTTATTACTTTACCCCATATTCTGTCAACGAGAAAACTTTCAGACAAGACAGTCATTATTCAGCAAAGGTATCAAACCCATTTTGCAAAGATGGTCCAAAGACTAAGGGATTGGTATCTGTGTAGGATGGGATGGATAGGGGGAGCTGGTTCACGAGAATGTATTGAATAGTGTGGGACTTGAGCATGACGTAAATGGTATGAAATAAGGGAGAATGTGCTGGTTTTAGTCATGACAGAGTTAATTTCCTTCACAGCAGCTGCTACGAAGGATTGTTTTGGATTTGCTCTGAGAATAGTGCTGATAAGGTGTTTGTTAGTTGGTGCTAAGAAGTGCTTGCACTAGTTCAAGGCCTTTCCAGCATCTGATACTGCACCTGTGTTCCCAACTGTCTCATTACAAGCAGTGTGTGTGGAGGACACAGCTCAGTCAGCCAACCCAAACTGACCAAAGGGGTATTTCATTCTGTAGCACGACATGCTCAGCGCATAAGCAGGGAGTGGGCCGGGGCTGGGGGTGGGGAGGACAGGATGGGACACATAGCTTGCATGTTAGCTCCTTTGTTAGCTCCCTTCTTTTCTTGTTCGTTAGTGGGTTGGTGGGTCAGTTAGCTTT